TGTCTTTGATGGCCCAGTTTTTCAGACTGACTGCAGAGGTTGGGGCATAGACTCCTGGTCACTTGTACTGAAGAGATGAGCGCTTTGGGGGCGGGAGCTCCTGGCCTTCTCTTCTCTGAAACAGCCTGGGTACCTGTTGGCATGTCCACAGCCTCCCAGAGTTATCAGGGTCTCTGTCTGGCTACCTGTGCCTGTCCCTACCTGAGAGGTTGGGAGTTCTGGGGAGTGTGCCTGTCTTAGTTACTCTTCTGCTGCCATGACAGTTTTGTCACCATAACAAGGCAACTTACAAAGGAAAGCATCTGAGTGGGGGTCTCCTGGCTCCAGAGGGTAGGGTAGGGGTATGGCAGTAGGCAGGATGCTGGAGCAGTAGCTGCAAGCTTATATGCTGAGGTAGCGACCACAAGGTAGAGAGAGAGCTAACTAGGAATGACATGGGCTTTTGAAACCTCAAAGCCCACCCCCAGGGACACACCCCCTCCATGAAGGCCATACCTGCTAATTCTCCCCAAACAGTTCCACCAGCTGGGCACCAAGCATTCAAACACATGAGTCTTTGGGGCCATTCTCATTCGCGCCACCACATTGTCCCAGACCCTGGATAGAGGAGGGACATGAAGAGGTCTAGGCCAGCTCAGGATCTTGACTTAAAAGAAGCCTTGCTCCTCCACCATACAGTTTCAGCGTTCCACATCCAGGTCACTCTCTGTAGGCTGCATTAGAAAACCTTTATTCATTGCCTCCTGAATCCAGAGGCCCCTCATCTGGGCACCTCTGCACAGGCGCAGGAGAGAGACATCATAGGGTGTGTCACGGCTTCCCTCTACCCTTCTTTCACATTCAAAGTAGCCTGGGGGCCAGACCCGTGTGCTTCTGAGTTCTGGATTCAGATGTGGCCAAGCCACAGACTGGGGTAGTAACAACAGGTGGCCGTCTTGGCCTGTTTTGGGCAAGGCAGAACTCCCCAGGCCTAGTGGAGGATTCTGGAGCCGCTTGGTGCATTGTTCTTTCCCTGGTCAAGTCATCCCCCATACATAACACTGTGGGAGTTCCCAGAGACTCCTCTGTAAGCTGGTGGCTCCTGGAGCTGCTTCCTCCCTCGCAGGGATTGCTTAGGATCTGTGAGCAGCTTGAGTCGCACGCTCTGTTTTGGTAATGGTTGTTGGGCATTCCCCTGCCTTTTCCTCCACCTGCCTCTCCTGCTCTGTCAACCCCTCCTGCATTTGCACCCCAGGTGGCATCTTGCTTTCCTTAGCCAAGCTTCTGATGTTTCCACACTAGTGTCTGGCCAGCACCATCTGGTGGACTCCGGTCTAACAATGTCATACTGTCGTCCAGTATGGTAGCCATGAATCAGGTGCGGCTGTTGATTTAAAATATGGCTAGGTGGGCTGGAAAGATGGCTCATCAATTAAGAACAGACACTACTCTTCCAGAGGACCTGTGTTCAATTCCTAGCAACCATATCAAGTGGCTCACAACTGCCTGTAACTCTAGCTCCAGGGGCATCTCACACTTTTGGCCTCTGTAGGCACCTGCATACACTTGTGTGCGCGCGCACACACACACACACACACACACACTTAAAAATAATTTTTAAAAATATCTTTAAAATGTGGCTAGAGGGCTGGCATGTGGCTTGTTTAGGTAGAATACTTGCTTGGCATGCGTGAAGTTCTGGGTTTGGGTCCCAGCGCGGCCTGAGCAGCTGGGTGCGGCGGCACATGCCTGCAAGCCCAGCACTCGGGAGTGGAGGAGGAGCATCAGGTTTAAGGCCACCCTTACCACGTAAGAGCCCTTGTCTCAAAAACAAACAAAAATTGGCTAAGGGGAAAAGGATCTGATTTTTTTCTTTCGTGTTTGTGTCTATGTAGTGTATGTTTGAGTGTGTGTGTGTGCACGTGTGTGTGTGTGTGTGTGCATGCACATGTGCACATGCACATACAAGTGGAGGTCAGAGGTTGATGTCAGTTATCTCCAATTGCTCTTCACTTTTCATTACTGGCACAGTGGCTCTTGCTGGACCTGGAGTCTGCCAATCTGACTAGTCTAGCCAGCCAGCCTGCCCCTGGGACCCCTGGTGCCTGCATCCTGAATGCTGGGATTCCAGGCAGGCTGTCACACTTGCCTGGCTTTTATCATGTGGGTACTGGAGGTCTGAACTCAGGCCTTCCTGCCTGCATACAAACTCTTTACCCACTGAGCCATTTCTCCAGCCTCTGGAACCGAACTTGCTTTAACTTCAATTAAACAATCATAGGAAGTGAGCGGTGGCTTTTCTACCTCTGTTCTCTCTGGCTTTCCTCTTAATCTCAGTTAGACTGCGTCTTCCTAGATGTAATCTATGATTTCTCTGTTGACAGTGGTTCTAGAGGCTGGTGCAGAGCACTGTGTGTCCTGCCCAGTCTGAGTCCTACTTCCTGACTCGCCCCGTGCCACCCTGTCTCTTCCCTGACCTCTGACCAGTTCCTGTGGTTGCAGGTGTGGCTTCCTTTTCCTGACCTTTCCAGCTTCCTTCAGGGCTCCTGCCAGATAGTGACCCCCATACTTTCCCAGCTGGCGTCTGTCCCTTCCCTCTGGGTGCCCTGGAGGATTGCTCAGCAGCCAGGGGCGGCTGCACTGTTGCTAATGTCTCATCCTGCTCCATAATCCACACTTTACCTGCCTAGGTCTTCCAGGCTCCAGTCACCTCAGTTCTCTCTGCCCTCTCTGGGGTCAGAAGTGGGGCTCACTAGGAAACTGCTCCTTCAGCATCTGTAGAACTTCCTCCAGAAGTGAAATCCCCAGGTCCACTTTGAAGGAAAAGAAAGGGTCATTGAGGTCCGGAGTAGGTGTCCTTGGGAAATGGGGAGTATCCAAAAGGTCCTCTTGTGAGCATCGGTGGAGAGGGCCTGTCAGGGAGATGGCTGAAGGCAGGGTGGCCGAGTAGGCGGCAGTGAAGGTTGCTGGGGGTTCCAGAATATTGGGGCAACTGGAGCTCTCTCGGTAGAGACGTGGGGGCTTGGGTGGGGCCAGCAGAGTGGCTCGGGGCTGCTCATCCCCCCACAAGGGCAGACGCCGGCCATCTGGCCTCCCTTGAAGTTCCCGGATGACTTCTCTGTTGCTGTACTCCTCGTGGTCACCACCAGCAGTGCTGGCCTGGCTGAGTGTGCTGCCCTGCCGCCGCAGTCGCCGTGGTCGCCCCAGGGTCATCCTCTTGAAGAAGGAGGCATTGCGGAAGGAGCCTTTCCGCCAGGTCTCCATGGAGCTCCTAAGTCAGCCAACAGGTCCGGCATCTGAGAAACCCCACAGAGGGGCTCAGCAGCAGCTTGTGACCATTTGCTAGCGGACTGGAGCCAGAAACTGGGGAGACACCCCTCAAGGGCTAGGAGCAGAGGCTGTGCGTTTCTGCTCAGTGTGGTCCTTTGTCTTGTTGCATCTTGGATGGTAAGACAAGACTGGCAGGAGGGAGAGTTTGTCCGGGAGATCCGAGTGCTGGGAGTCCCCGCCTAGATAAGAGTGGCCTGGTTACTTGATGGGCATGTAGGAAAAAAAACAAAGAAAGCAGCGGTACTTACAAAGCAGAGCCGGGGTCAAACAAGGCGAGGGCTTGGTGGGCAGGGCAGGACCTCCGGAGGGGAGCATGCACTTCTTCAGGCAGCGGCACCCTCTCTCTGGTAGTTCATGGCATGTGCCGATCTCCTGGCCAGTGTGGGACTGTGCTCTCTCTGCCAGCATCTGGGGACTCTGATTAGTGGCTTGGCTGTTTGTGCCAGCGTGTGGTAGAGATGTGTTTTGTTTTCAGCTGACTCAGTCAGGTGGGAAGCTGGTTTCATGCTCTGAGGTAATTGCAGCATCCGCAGGCTGGGACTGGGGCAGCTGTGACCAACACCCCAGGGCAGTAGGACGCTTCAGATTCCTCTGGGGAGTGGTCTGGGGACAGCCCTGCCCGGTGTGTCACCAGGTTACTTCCTTTCCAGTCAAAGCTCCACCGCCACTGTGACCCCAGCAGGCCTGCCTGGCTCCCTAGCCCCAGCCGGCTATGGGAAGAGCCCAGGGAGGTAGTGCTAATTGAAAGGCAACTTTTGGAACAGTTGTTGGAGAAGGAAGAGAGGAGACCTGCCGGTGTGGGTGACTCAGCCCTTGGGCTGGTTGACAGGCCCTCATTAGGCAGGCCACAGGAATGGTGGGGAAGGATGTGGAGGGTGTGTTAACAGGGAACAACCCCATGCCTGTAAAGGACTTACTCCTCCCAGGGTTCTGGGGGCATGCCAGGGGTGACCTGAAGTTTCTTGGTAGAGCAGTATGAAGTTGGGGAAGGAGCAGCGCCCTCCACAGCCGGGACCTGGGTGCGGCCTCAGCTTTTCCTCTCTTCACCCAGGCCAGTGCCCGGCCGGATCTGCTCTGATGCTCCAGTCCTCTCCCTCCGGCTCGTGGGCCGCATTTGGGGACCTTCTTGCAGAGGGAGCCAGAATGTGTGAAGCTGCCATGAATTACCAGTGGTTGGGGGGGGGGTGGCTGAGAAGCGGTATTCCTAGGGGTGGGGGAGGTATAAAGACAGGGGAACCAGATTGAGTGTCACTTCCTGTTTATCTGCACCCCTGACTCCAAACAAGTTAGCCAGAGCCTGGCAGCCACTCCCATGTTATTCCCTGGGTCACTGACTTCCAAGCCTTCTTCTGTGGGAGGGCGCCAGTGTGGGGTTCCCCCGGCAGGACCCCATAACTCTTTTGTTACAGTGGGCCACCACACTTGCTATGGCTGTCCTGGCTTGGCTCTGTGCCACCGTTGGTGGGTTTCCCACCCCTCTATCTGCTGTAGAATCATATAAGTGGTGTCACATCTCCAGCGGTGCCAAGGGAGGAAACGGTCTGATTCATACCGTTGGCCTGAAGGCTTGGCCGCACAGTGCTCTGCTGGAAGGCTGCTTCCCTTCCACAGCTTTGGCCCGTTGGTGGCTGGCTGCTGTTCTTGGGTTATTAAAGTGAACCCCTCCTCAGTCCCCTGCATGGCTAGCAAGATCGTAAAAGAAAGCCAAGGACCCTACCTATAGTAGCCTGGTCTTGTGTCTTTATGAGGCAAGCTGGGCTCATGCTTGTGGAGAGGGCAAGGCCCCCTTTTATGTCCTCAGCAGGCCAGACCTGTGGGGGAAGAGTGGAGCCTGGGATCCCTGCACCTCAGACCTCCTCTTCTGTTGGAAACCTGCCAGGCAGAAGTCATGGGCGGAGGAAAGAGAGGCAGATAAAGGGCTGAGGCCTGAACCAGAGCAGGATGGAGAGAGATGTGACATCCCGGGGACAGGGAGGCCAGGCGAGCTTAGAGATGAGCGGATGAGGAGATAATGGAGAAGCAGCCTGGGGAGCACAGGCCTGCTCTCTCTAGGCTCTTGGAGGAGTCAGAATCCAAGTTGTCTGGGTCCTTCCTCTGCCCCGTCTTCCCCTTCAGTTTTAGACTTGGTTCTGTCTAGGCCCGATACTGAATCTGATCTGTGGGACTGTGCCTGCTAGCCTGACTTCTCTGTCCCTTCTGTCCCCAGGGCTCAGTGCGGTCAGAAAGGGACTATGAGAGTCTTGTCATGATGCGCATGCGCCAGGCAGCTGAGCGCCAGCAGCTGATCGCCCAGATGCAGCAGGAAGATGAGGGGCAGCCCACGTAGCCCCGGCTCCAGCTCTCCCACCCCACACACTTGTGCATCATCACTAATAAACTTTTTTTTTTTTAATAAAACAGTCTACTTTTCTTTCTCGTGAGCTGGACTTTATCTGAAAGGGCTCCACTCAGGTCAAGGGACAGACTAGTAAAGAATGTTGCATTTCAAGAGTCACTGCACAACAAAGCTAAGGAACATCCACTCATGAGAGCCTTTTATTGGCTTGGACTAGCTGTGCAGGATCCGGGGAGTGTCCTCTCGGTAGCCTCCTTCAGCACATGGCCTAGAGCAAGAGGCCCCTAGCTGGGGAGCTGAAAATACCAGGGCAAGGCCTGCTGTGCCCGAGGAACTGGAGCAAGGCCCCTTAGGCTGCTCACAGCCATCAGTGTTGGACAAGGAACCTGACAGTTTGGAAAGAGGCAGGGCAGACAATGTTGCAAGGATTGGGGGTCAGGGCACAAGTCAGGCCCTCCGAAGAATAGGTGTTCTGTCCACAGGTCATTCCTTGTACAGGCACCACACCAGCGTCTGGCCCACCCCTGTCATGCTCAACACACGGAAGCCCCTGAGTTCCAGCTTGTCCAGGACTATGCGAGGAGGGTCGTTGACATAGTATTCATAGCTGTGAAGAAACCAGGAGAGCAGCGTGAGGAGAAGCGGAGCAGGCACCCAGCCAGAGCCAGGCCTGTTTGCTGGGCACTTGCCTGGTGAGAGGCTAAGTGCCCACCCTCTGTTCTGTCCCGTGCTACACACTTCGCTTTATTCTCCCCGGCTGATGAAGGCGCCATCACTGTTGTGCCAATACATGAGAAAACAGGCTGGTTAGCTCTGGCTGCCATGAACAGCAGGCCTCATGGTAGCCTTACAGCTGCTGTGTGTGCTAGTCTGAGCACCCCGCTAGGCAATCTGCCCTCCTCAGGGCTCGGGCCCCTCTCTAGCTGTCCTTGCAACCCTGGAGAAGCAAATAAGGTTAGCGCCTGGCACAGAAAAGTGATTTTCCTTGAACTGTAGAGAGCATGAAGCAGATATGGGTCCCGAACCCCAAACTTGGCATCTTAAAGCAAATGCCTCGTGGCAAGGGATGGGATTGGCTCCTCCCTGCCTTGGTCAAGGGCTGGGATCTGTTTGTCTTCTCTCCCCTCCTTGCACTTGGGACTCTGGCAATTCTTCTGAGAATCCCTGAACCCTGGGTTTGTAATAGGAGGCTGTGTTGGTTTGAATGAGAATGGCCCCCACAGGCTTGTATCATCGGATGTTTGGTCTCCAGCTGGTGGGCCTGTTTTGGGACGCATTGGAAACTGGTCTTGGAGGAGGAGGTATGTCACTGGAGGTGGGCCACTCAGGCCTAGTGTCTGTCTGCCTTCTGCTCGTGGGTCAGATGTGTCAGCTCCTGCTCCGGTGCCTGCCTGCTGCCATGCTCCTTGCCATTTTTGGTTATGGGTTCACTCTCTCAATGCAAGTTCCCAGTAAATGCTTTCTTTCTTAAGGTGCTGTGGTGACTTGAATGAAAGGAGCCCTCACAGGCTCATCTATTGGAATGCTTGGTTACTGGGGAGTGGAACTGCCTGAGAAGGATTAGGAGGATTGGAAGGCCTGGCCTCGGAGGCGGTGTGTCCCTGGGTGTGGGCTGTGACATTTCCAAAGCCCATGCCAGGCCCAGTCTCCGTCTCTGTCTCTGTCTCTGTCTCTCTCTGTGCCTGCAAATCAGGATGCAAAGCTCTCAGCTACTGCTCCAGCACCTGCCTTCATGCTGCCACGTTCCCCACCATGATCATGGACTAACCCTCTAAAACTGTCAGCAAGTCCCCTATTAAATGCTTCCTAAGAGTTGCCTTTGGTCATGGTGTCTGTGAAAACAGACACTAAGACAGAGCAAGGAATCAGAAAGGGAAGCAGTGGCGTTCAGGCATGATGTAGTACACTGTGGGAAATGGCCAAATGCCAGGCAGCCAAGAGCTGGAAAGAGGCCCCAGGTGTCCTGCTCTGTTTCTGGGACTGGGCCCTGTTACTCTGCCAGCCCTATTGTCTTTGCTGATGGGATCCAGTTTAGAGCAGAGAGGACACGGGAAAGGACAGTTCATTTCCAGAGCCCCAGACTCCATGAGCTGCCTTGTGAAGGGAGACCGGGGGTGGGGGTGGGGGGACACGGAAGGCTTGTGGGAAACTCTCCCTGTGGGGGATTACAGATGAAAGCATGTGCGGTAGCCTGTTGGTTGTGTAAAGGGAGAGGCAGGAGGAGGCACTGCCAGGGAGAGAGAAGGCGCTGAAGGACGCCACTACTCACAAGTTGTTTCCCAGGACACGTCTCTTCGTGGCCCCCAGATGCTGCATCAGCTCCGGATCCGAATGTTCATCGCCCACCATGGTGGGGCCCACCTCCTGCAAGGGAAGCCCCAGGAGCTGCTTAGCTGGCTGCTGGGCAGAAGGGGTCAGTCCCCTTCCTCCTCCCCCTGCCCCTCCTCCTCCGTCTCCTTCTCCTCCTCCGCCTCCCCCTCCTCCTCATTTCCCCTGCCTCCTGGCCCCGAGGAAGCTATAGGTAAAGGGGAAACAGCGCTGAAGGCCAGTGGAGGAGGAGCACAAGCTAAGAGGGGAGCAGGGTGGGTTCTCCCTGGTTTCCTAAACTCTGCCTCTTGACACTTTCAGGCCAGACGCCACCAACCATGTTTCCTGTGTATTGGCATCATCTGGAGAATGAAAAAAAATGAAAACACATGTCCACATGAAAATTTACACACAGGCATGTAAACTTCCCAATTTACAGCTGCCACCAAAATGAAAAACAAAACAAAAATAACAACAAAAAAAACTTCTTTTGTTTGTTTGTTTTTCGAGATAGGGTTTCTCTGTAGTTTTGGAGCCTGTCCTGGAACTAGCTCTGTAGACCAAGCTGGCCTCAAACTCACAGAGATCCTCTGCCTCCCAAGTTAAAAAAAAAAAAAAAAAAAAAGCAAAAACAAAAAACCAAAAACTTATATGCTGCTGGCAGAACCATCCATAACAGCCAAAAGCTGGAAACAGCCTTGCAATGCTGGCCAGTTGATGAGCACAGAGTAAAATGTGGCAAGTCTTTAGCCAGGTCGTGGTGGCACACACCTTTAATCCCAGCACTCAACACTCTGAAGGCAGAGGCAGGTGGATCTCTGTGAGCTCAAGGCCAGCCTGGTCTACAGTATGAGTTCCAGGACAGCCAAAAAAAAAAAAAAAAAAAAAAAAAAAAAAAAAAAAAGGCAAGCCTGTAGTTCTAATAGGAAAAAGACAGTGAGCTAGCTTGGAGGGCAGCCTGGGCTACAGCTACAAGATGGAGTGGTACAGCCTTCCTACAGAATCTTCTTCGGCAGGAATGATATCCTGATACATGCAACAGTATGAACGGACTTTGAAAACATGGACAGGAAAGCAGCCAGGCCCAAAAGAACACACAAGCAAGCGTAAAGTTAGCAGTTAGAGCTCATAGACACATATTAAAATTGATTCTAGTGATGGTACCCAGCTCTGAATATACTAAAATCAAAACCCCTCACAGACATTAAACCGTATGTTTTCTACCAGTGAATGGTTTGGTTGCATTGCATATCAGTAAAACTATAAGACAGCCAAGCCTAGTGGGACATGCCTGTAATCCCAGCACGTGGAAAACAAGGCCAGAGTCAGCCCCTAACACATAACAAATTTGAGGCCAGCCTGGGTTACATGAAAAACAAACAAAGAATTAAAAGAATCATTATTATTTGAGGGAGACAGTTCCAAGTTTGGATTCCCACATTCTCCAGGGTTTCTGAAGGTCTGAGGAAAGCGCCCAGCAATCCGTATTTTAACAACTGTACAGATTCTCAGACTTCTGCCCTGAGCACTGTGCAGACCTCTCCTG